CCCCAAAACCCCAAAACCCCAAAACCCCAAAACCCCTCAGGCCTTCATATTCATTGAATAGATACATCCTATTTCCTTACGTTTGAGCACTCATAAAAGTGAGCGAAGAATATTGGGTAAGTAAAGGAGCCACACGATTTTAGTCTCTAGAACTAAACGTTTTAAGTGCTTATAAATATTCAGATATTAAATATAGAAGATTTTTAACTTTATGATCGTTAAATCAGGATTAAATTATTACTTCTTAGTCTCAGATTTCTTCCTTTGAGTCTTACATGGTTTAGAACCCTCATTATTCTTTTTCGGTTGGACTTCCTGCTTAGACTTAATGTCTTCGCATTTCTTTTGGGATCCTTTCCCTTTGCCCTTCCTCTTTCTACCAGTTTCCTCATATTCCTTTGTTCCTATCAGCTCATATTTACCTGATTTTTTGAGATGTCTTAAATGAGCTACTATCTGCTCCTTTGTCCTATCTTCAAACCCTTCTGATATTTTAGTCCAACTGTTACCCCATTTCTCTACGCTTTCCTTAAGCTTTAGGTCTTCTTGAGCTGTCCAGAAGACAATTTTCTTCCTTGGCTCTTTGACTTCTTCCTTTACTTCAACTTTGGTTGCCACGAATCCTTGTGAAGGGACTTGGTCTCAAACTTGGTCTAAGTCAAGGAAGATCTCAGATGCAAGCTCATCCTCATTGAGGTCCCATTGGTCATCGCTCTCTGTCGTATCACCATCAAGATGGCTAGAGGTACAATTCTGATCGGCCAAAGGCCGATCAGAATTAGAGCTCTGGCTAGAAGGAGAGGTTGGCCTGGATAGAGAAGGAGAAGCCTGAATAGTAGAGAGCTCAGTAGATATTTTATGAATCTTATGCATAAACAAAATCTGGTCTTGCTTCATCAGCTCTTGAGCCTTACTTATCATTTGCTCCAGATTTGCAGTATAATTCTGAAGGTATTCTAATAAGTTCCCTGACTCCATAGTGATCTTGAGGTTTATTCATGATCTCTAAGTATTTTCAAAACCAAATTTAAAAGGCAAAAATCTTTATATTCAATTTAAATTATTTTGATGGGGTTTTGGGGTTTTGGGGTTTTGGGG